ATATATATATATATATATAAAACGCATTCATAGCTACGGAATGTTTTGCAGACGACCGATAAAAGTTCTTCGCGGGTTGAAGTCCAGGTCCTCTTCGACGGTTTATGGCAGTGTCCCCCACTCCGGGGGGATTTCAAATCAAAAACATTAAATAAATAACATAAAGCCATAACCGTAAGTGGCATTAATGTTTTTGTAGAATTTAAAATTGTACTCTTATACTGTTTCGTTTCCATCTCAAAAATTAAGAAGAGAGTTTTTGAGGGATGAACTTGGATTTTTAGACATTGGATTTTTCAAGAATAATTATTATATTTATAACAAATACATTTTCTAACGTTCGTAGACGAAGAAACCGATCGATAATCTGTCATACATTAGTTCTACTGGTAGCATTCCGCCCTGACAGAGGGCGCTAAAGAAACGTAACCGGTGCCGGCTAGCGGCGAAGAAGAGCATATCCATTCAAAACAATACTTTGGTAGAAGTTGCATCTCTCGTCTCGCCCGCGCTAAGATGTCTCATGTTAGCCCCGACAACGACGATCAAGCGCCGGGTAGCAAAAAGGGCCTTTCCCTGCCCATTTCCCGAGTGCGCTTGATCATGAAGAGTTCCCCAGACGTGTCCAACATTAACCAGGAAGCGCTTTTCCTTACCACCAAGGCAACGGTAAAGAAATGCTCATGTTAGCTTGTCGGCTCACCTAAAGTGGCCAATCTACTTCGTGGTCTTCGGAAGTGTTTCCTAACTTATGTTGAAGCAAGGCACGTGTTTGACCTGAGAGAAATCACAGCGCATACCACCACACCGTGAAATAATGACAATGTCGTCTCTTAAATCTTCTTGAACACAATTATTATTCTGTTGTAGACAATTATTATTCTGTTGCACTTGTTAATTTTGTGCTTACGGGCAACTAGTGGACGAGCAATTAATTGTGTTTTACTCTAAGGCGCCCGGACATATTTAGATGAACACAGTGGTGATAGTAAAATAATAGATTTCTCTTCGAATGAAGTCTCATTTCTCGAGGCACACCCGACGATCTTTCAGGCACAGTGGTTGGGAATCACTGTTGAAAAGTATAGTACTTTTTTCTTGTGTTTTTTTTTTCTTAAAGGAGATGTTTGTTCAACACTTGGCACTGTCGTCATTCAACAATGGCCAAGGAAAAGAAAGCCGCAGTTTGTCCTACAGTGACCTGGCTAACGCTGCAGAGGAAATGGAAACCTTCCAGTTTCTAACAGGTGACATCCGCAATCAACTCACATGAACATTCGAGAAAGACTTAAAATTGTTCATCCCACATGGACAGCATTTTACTGTTACTGAGATGCTAGTTAGTTCAACTTTTAAGAAGTCCCTTAACTATCATTCATTCATTCAAGTTGGGGTGAGAATCAACAATGTTATCAATTACCGGTAGTCGACATCAGATCGATTGTTATCTTTGCGTCCATTACAAATAAAAAATCTGAAGTCGTTCAATGCTTAGTAGCAAGGCTGTTCTTCTCCCCTCCGCAGATATCCTCCCGAAGAAGATCCTGGCCCGCGATTACCTCAAGTCTTTGGAGCAGATGCAAGAAGAGGAAGAAGCCGTGGACTTGTAAAACAAATTGGACTTCATGTCTGGGACAGATGTGATATCTGAACATTTAAATCCCCAAAAGACCGATAAGAGTCATGTTGACTTGGGACGACTTGGCGATGAAGCCTTCAAAGCCGCAAAGGGCGATTGCTTTAACATGTGAACTTTCTACTTACATGGAGCGACGCTCACAAAAAGCTAGACACTGATCACCTGTTCACAGATTTGTAATGTATACAGAGTTCCACTCGGCTGGGGAATTCAGCGAGCATGGCTGTGGCATATTCCAGCCTTGAAAACGATCGTGAATGCGGCATTGTAGCATGGTTGTAAACGCAAACATACCAGGCCTTCCATATCGTTCTATTTTTAAAAAGTCCTATCACGCTGGAGCTGAAATACTTGAAATGTGTTGTTTGTTGGGAGTATTTTTCCACATGTAGTAAGTGAACAAAAAGAGCTGTACTGTACTACATGTACGTTGTTGCTGATTAAATCAGAATCATTTCCCAAACATTTTTTCTTTTCGATCAGCATGTGGAAGCCTCAATAATGCGTGGATATCATTTCAACCAGACTCTTATCCCTTTCACGCACCCTGTAACCTGTTAACACAGGGGTCGGCAACCCAAAATGTTTAAAGAGCCATATTGGACCAAAAAAAACCCCGCAAAAAATGAAAACGCTCCAGGGAGCCGCTAGGGCGGCGCTAAAGAGTCACATGCCTTCTCTGGAGCCGCGGGTTGCCGACCCCCGTGTTAACATAATAAGCTCTCCACTGTAGTAACTGCTGTCCCTGAAAGGGTTAACTTTTTCCACGCACACGACGTTCGATGAAGCTCGGAACACGCGGAGTCAAGTTAGTGTCGTTTTGTTTTATGGCGAGTTATCAAACTTTGCCACCATGCAATGACAACAATTTCAAATTCTGGGCAGTTTAGCGTAATCCATTTCTGTTGTGTACTTGGTACAAATTTGGAAACAATTGCAAGATAGCAGCGAATTTCCAAATGACCTCTCCAAACCAGAATGTCTGAATTTTCCAACAATTCTGCAATGATGTGTCCTGTTTGGTGGTTGAGACTTTTATTGCCATTTACTAAAAGCGCAAAGTCACAACACTGGCAACAAAAAATGTGACGTATTCCACCGCCGATCAACATATTGGTGTGCTGGTGGTCACTGGCGGATGAGCTTGTGGAGTCTGAGCTGCATGTGGATGAGATTGTCCTCCAGGGTGGACAAGCTCCTCTCCAGGGCGGACGCCAGGTGCTCTCGGGCCCACGCCGACTCCGTCGCGTGTGTCAAATGTTCCTTCACACTACACATTGCAGGTAACACAAAACGGGGGATTAGAATAGCTGGGGGCAGAAATTAGCCAGACGGTAATGGAAAAAAAACCAAAAAAAAAACAACGCAGTTCTGGAGTCCAGCAACACCGATCAAATGCCACCAGATAACAGCAATGCTTTCCTGTTCCATCCCTGTTTGTCATATTCAACGGCTGTGTAGTTTTACTTTGTTTACTTTAAAAAAAACAATGTAAAACAAAATTTTAATGTAGTTCCATCTACCGACAAAGTTTTGTTGATATAATTTTTGTCGGTTCAATTCCAGCTCCTGCCTCCCTGTGTGGAGTTTGCATGTTCTCCTCGGGCCTGCGTGGGTTTTCTCCGGGTATTCCGGTTTCCTCCCACATTCCAAAAACATGCATGGCAGGTTGATTGAGCACTCAAAATTGTCCCTAGTGTGAGCGCGGATGGTTGTTCGTCTCTGTGTGCCCTACGATTGGCTTTTGTTTACTTTAAAAAAAACAATGTAAAACAAAATGTTAATGTAGTTCCATCTACCGACAAAGTTTTGTTTGATTTAGTTTTTGTCAGTTCAATTCCAGCTCCTGCCTCCCTGTGTGGAGTTTGCATGTTCTCCTCGGGCCTGCGTGGGTTTTCTCCGGGTATTCCGGTTTCCTCCCACATTCCAAAAACATGCATGGCAGGTTGATTGAGCACTCAAAATTGTCCCTAGTGTGAGCGCGGATGGTTGTTCGTCTCTGTGTGCCCTACGATTGGCTAGGCAACCGGTTCAGGGTGTCCCCCGCATACAGCCTGAAGACGGCTGGGATAGGCTCCAGCACCCCCTCGTGACCCTGGTGAGGACAAGCCGATCGGAAAATGAATGAATTTTTTTCAGGTTTCTTTCTTCCAAACTGGCTGTTCTGCCAATTGCTTTGTCAAAATGGCTGTGTGAACAGTCCTCACAACAAATCTGGAAAATTCTTAACTTTGCAGCTTTTAAACCTGCACATTTGTTGGATTCTGAGAAGAAAGTGAGAATTCTGACTTTAACCCTTTCAGGCGGTTACTACAGTGGACAGCTTATCATGTTATCAGGTTACAGGTTATCATTATTGGTGCATGAAAGGGTTAGAGAGGGAATTCTGAGAATAAAGTCACAATTCTGAGATAAAAGTGATCATCTTGCCAAGCTTTTATTTTTTTATTTTTTTTTTAATTTCTTCACTGGCCCTAATCCTCTTCTTCAATTTAAAGCTCAAAATATTCAGCTGTAATGTGTTTTTTTTTAATCATCTATTATTTTATTAATTAACCCCCCCTGGTATGTTATGGATCAAATGCACCCGTTTGGAAAATCTCGGGAAAAAAAAAAAGATTAACCTTGGTCTAGTGACCTTTTTTTTTTCCCCCATCAATCCATTTTCTAATCTGCTTATCCTCACGAGGGCCGCGGGCGTTCTCAAGACTATTTCAGCAGTCTTTTGGCAGTAGGCGGGGTACACCCTGAACTGGTTGCCAGCCAATCGCAGGGACAAACAACCATTCGCACTCACAATCACACTTCGGTACAATTTGGAATGCCCAATCAAACCTGCTATGCATGTTTTTGCACAAAAGGTCGAATGCAACTAAAATCATAAAAAGGGGACTCGAAAGCCTCAGAGAAAGTGGTCCGATGGAATCACACGAACAGACGATGAATCACCTCGCAAGGAGCCTCCCATCCTTGCCGTCTTTCCTCTTCTCCTCCAGGGAGACGAAGACCTTCTCCATTGTGTCCAGGGCCTCAGCCACACTGCGGTGGTCCGAGAGCACCCCCTGTACCTCGTCACTGGCCTGCCGCTGGTAGGAGAGCCCACCTTCCTCCACGCCACAAGAAGAGGTCACGGCCTCGAGGGCGGCCCGGTTCTGCAGCGCCAGCTGGCGGGAGCGGGCCAGCTCTTCGGGCCCGGCTACGTTCTCCCAACAGATATCCAGCGTGGGTGACGGCAACCAAAAGTTCTGCGTACAGTTCATCGACCCCGGGGGTTTCTCTGCTGCTGATGCGGCAGCTGCTGTTGTTTCAGGTGGTCTGTCGGCAAGGAAGTGATACACGGGGGAGAAACCGGAACCCCATTTGTCATCGGTCCAGTCGTCCTCGTCAACAGAGATGTCTTCATGGGGGGCGCACGCACAGAAGCCCACCAGGAGCCAGGTCCAACTCCACATTAACCGAAGCAGCATCTCCAAACAAACACCCACAAATACACACACACTATAATAATTAAAAATACATTCTTATCGATAATGGGTCAATTTAAAACTGTTTTGATAGAGTTATGACATAGTTGATGCACGTACTGTAAAAGGTTAGGTAACCTTAACAGCCACACAGTAAGGGTCATAAAAAGCCCACCCAAAACAGACATTATATTTCATAGTCAACATTGTTTTGTATTATTTCTTCACATACAGAGTTAAGAGAATGAAAATAGTTCTCCAGTCCGTCTTGAAACTACATGGAGCAAGGTGCTAAGTAGGACTGGAAAAACTGAGTCACACCATGCCTTGTATATTCAATGCTGCTACATCACCACAAAGTCTTGCCTTACTGTCGTAACTAAATGTCCGCCCTTGCTTGCAGTTCGCCTTCCAGAGAAACCTCGAGCAAGTGAACACCGACGTCCAAGAGAGTCCTGCCGCGCTCGTCTGCTCCGGCTGCCTGAAGTCATCGGAAAGAATGAGTGCTGGTCTGCATCGTGCGTTCACCCTTTACTGGCTCCCAACAGCAACCGCCGGAAAACTTCAACTAATTGAGAGCAGACACAAACACATGTAAGTCCAGCACGCTTTCTGGGTGGAAAAAGAGACAAAGACATGATTTTCCTCATGGCATCCCTACGAGGCCTTTTTTACAAGCTCCAAAACAATAGCGGGCATTTGTCCAACACAATACTGTTTGAAAACATTTGTGTGCTGAATAACACTACTTGTGTTTATGAAACGCCCAAGCCAGAAACTCGACTCAAGCACTTTGGAATGGGAAGTGAGTGCAACACAAATTTTTGGCACAATCCTTCAAATTACTGTACAGTAATACAGGAATATGCGGACTGGACGCTTCATTAGGAAGTTCTCAAAATGTTGTGTACAGTATCGTAATACTTACAGGCAATATAGTGAAGATAATGTAGAATGAAGTCACGAAAATAAAACATTCGTAGAAAATTAAGGAGAAAGAAATCTAAATGAAATAAAGATTGTATCATTGAAAAAACACGTTCTAATAGAGTACTGTTAAAATAATGTGAATTAGTTGTGTTACAGTGACAACCATAGGTAGCGTGTTGTAATTGCGTCCATCGTTTGTTTGTGTGTTTGCGCATGCGCTTCACTTCCGCCCCTCCCCCTTGTCGGACAGACAGGCCGTGCCGTGACGTCACCCCGACTCCGCCGCTGCTGGCTGTTGTCGGCCGGACCTCCGGACAAAACCGACGAGCCAACGAGCAAGCCGCCGCCGGGAACGGGCTCACAACCTCCGGCCTTGCACCCACGATGGCCTCCGACGGCACGGACGAGCGCTCGCCGCTTTTGTCCACTCCCAACTCGGAGAACGTCACCCCCAACGCGCCGCCTTACCTGCACGACCCCAGCCCCCGAGGTAAACTGCGTGGACGGGTGGAATTGAGAGGCCAGTTTGCAGCGAGCAAAGGCGCCCATGGGTGGGGGTCTGTGAGAAGTGGAGCACTGGGTTAAGGACCAGAGGCCTGCCGCAAGAAATGCTACATCACCACTCAGGCGAGGCCTGACAACATGATGTGTTAGGTCGATGGATGTCTATCAAGTCCGGTGGTTGTCGTCATGAAAATGGAGCAGACGCGTGACGTTGAATAAGTCTATTAAAATGGCTTTCATCATTTTGTCACTCAACATATCGCAGTTCCCTTTTCGCGGTGTCACTATCGCGGATCATTAAATCATTAGCCTAATAGCATAGTTATGTCTGAATATTTGGGCAAAACGAGGGAGGGTTGGGCAGAGACGAAAATAATCCAGTTACCTTGATTCAACCTTTGCATATGAAAATGACCTGGATGATTGATAACCTACAATCCAGGTGTCAAACCCAGGCCCAAGTCTATCATTTCACGCGGCCCGGTCAAAGGAAATCTTGTCCATCAACTTCAATGATTCTTTTTACAATGGCGCAAAATTTCAAATTGTCATTTGATATAAATCCTAAAATATTGCAGCATTTTTTCAGTAACTTGAACAACTAGGACCATTGACTTCTGATTTGAAAACAAGTGATTCATCAATTTCTTGTATATATCTAATAATATGATGAGAAATACAAAGAAGCATTGATATGGTTTCACGGTCATAAGGGCCCTCTGAGGGAAACGGGATTTTTGATTTTTTTCGCTGAATGAGTTGTCTTGGGCCAGCCTAAAAATCAAGAAGTAGTAATGGTACTCTTACTTCAGTACAATTTTTTTCGTACTCTGGGAGGCTGCAGGGACTGAACTTAAAAAAACAAACAAAAAAAAAACTTTTTTTTTTTTTTTTTTGCTTTTACTTAAGCAGTGGAATTGAATCCAAACTCCTATCAAGTTTTTTTTTTTTTTTTATAAACACACACAAGTGCTGCTCTCCCACAGCGACAGTCAGTTCAAAGCACAAAAGTAATGCTACTTCTTTAACTGTATGTCATTTATAACTGGTGTGGTGTGTAAAAAGGGGGTCGTTGTCCTGGTGCCACCAGGGCTGGCGATCACATGACGAGCCATCATGGGTGTCATGAGGTGGGGAGGAATCAATGCCTGTCTGGCACAATTTTCTTCTCACTTCCGACATTTTTGTATTGCTATTTAATGCACTGTTTTATTTCAGATGATACAGTTTCTCTATATGATTTAAATGAATGATACAATTTGAATTTGTTGGTGATGTAAATAACCGATGAATATTCCCTTCCCTGAAAGCGGAACTGCCTCCGCCGTACACGGCAATCGCCAGTCCAGACGCGGGCGGCATTCCCGTCATCAACTGCCGCGTGTGCCAGTCACTCATCCATCTGGATGGCAAACTACACCAACACGTGGTCAAGTGCACGGTGTGCAACGAGGCCACCGTACGTCGACGCCGTTACGCGTTCGCCCAGAGCCATCGCCGTCAGTCATGTCTCTTTTGTTGCGCTCGCAGCCCATCAAGAATCCGCCCACGGGGAAAAAGTACGTGAGGTGCCCCTGCAACTGCCTCCTCATCTGCAAAGACACCTCAAGGAGGATAGGATGCCCGCGACCCAACTGGTACGCAAACACCAACAGCAACATTAACAGTTACTTAATTGAACCTTCTGTCGGTGATGTGGATCGATTAATCAAGTCAGTGATATGTTTTTGATTCCATCAATATCCATCTCTGGGAAAAAATAAGAGACCTCTCCAAAATGATCAGATAGTTAGATTTTTTTTTTTTGATTTGTCATTTCAAATGAACATTTTTGCTTGATTCTACAAACTACTGAGCAGCACACTCAAGACCCAAATACCAAGTACAAATATTGTCATTTGAATTAAATTGGTCAATAAATATTTAGCGGGTTCTTCTTTTCTTTTTTTCAACTCTTAATCGATTTAAGTGCTGTATAACTACAGAGTAATTTATTGACGGATTAACATTGGAAACACTTTTTAAAGTAAACTTATGCATTCATTTAACTGATTGGCCCTGTGTTATAAGAAAAATAGAAATGTATTTTTTTTTTTATTGTAATGTCTATTTTTTATAATTTACTTTTTTTATATATATATTTAATCAGAATCATCTTTATTGGCTAAGTATGTAGAACACACAAGGAATTTGTTTCCGGTACTACAGGCTACACTAATATCAATCAATGACATTTATGTGAATATGTTAATGATTTAAAATTGGATTTTTTAAAAAAATGATTTCAAATTTTCAGTTCAGGATAAATGTTCTGAAATTCAATTGAAAAATATGCCACCATTCCCTAATAATTGGGCAAAGAAATTTCACCGAACGGCCATCAGCCAAATTGACTCCATCATACTTCGTGTTGTCCAACAGCAGACGCATCATCAACCTGAGCCCGGTGATGGTGATCCCCGAGGAGCAGCCCGCCCAGCCGGCCCTCCCCGTGCAGCCCGAGGGAATGCGGGTAGTCTGCGGCCACTGCGGCAACACCTTTCTGGTACCTCTGCGGCAGCGCTTCACTTTTCCACACAACTGTACTGAAATCAACGGGAATGTAACCGAAAATATCAAACATTTCATTCGACTGAATTGTGCCTAACAAATGTACGCTGCTGGATTGAAGCCAAAACATAACGTCATTTATTTTTATGATTGCATTGAAGAAAAAAAAAAAACATTCCTCATTGGTTGATTGTGTTGTGTTGCCTTTAATTTTCAGCGTGTGTGTGTGTGTTTTTTTTTCAGTGGATGGAAGTGCGCTTCAACACGTTAGCCAAGTGCCCCCACTGCAAAAAGATGTAAGTACACCAACATACGTTTCTTGACCATGAACTTGACACTAGCGGCTTCACGGCTGGCATGTAAAGAAAAAAAATCTGAGAAGGGGGGAATCAGGTCATGCTGGAGCCCACCTTTCCCTTGCACCTCACCTCCACCCACCCTTCCGGGGGGAATCAGGTCATGCTGGAGCCCACCTTTCCCTTGCACCCCACCTCCACCCACCCTTCCCCTTTCCCCGACGACTTGAGCGCCGTCACATGAGAGGCATGTGAGAGCTGAGAAGAAAGTCAAGCGTACCCTGAAGGCTGATCATGAGACCAGCGAGCGCCGGCAACCTAAGCATTGCGGTTACCTTTTTCTTTTTTTTTTTCTTTTTTTTTTTCTTTTTTTTTGCAGCTCGTCCGTGGGCAGCGCGCTTCCGAGGCGGCGCTGTTGCGCTTACATCACCGTGGGGATGATCTGCATCTTCATTGGCGTGGGGTTAACGGTAAGTGCCACCATGTTCATGTCACTTTCGGGTACACTTACAAGTTAACGATACACGTGGTGTTGGTGGCTTGAAATGGGACAAATTATGAAAAAAAAAATATGGATGAGACAGCACAAAAAGTGGAGTTCAGGGTGGGCTGATGAAGTGCGATAGTGTGCTGGGATTTGGGTTCCTTATGCTATTTTTTGGTCGAATTTTTATAACCTTTTTTTTTTCATTTCTGTGTGATACTGCTGGATTTCTTCAGAATATGCAAATTAGGTCTGCATTAAATGGGTGATATTGTTTTTCAGTATTTTTGTAACTAGTTTGTCTCTATTTTTTTCTAATCTTAGTATAATTGTCATCCAAAATGTTTTTACATTTTTCCTTGTATGTTGGAAATATTTCCCATTATTTGTATATTTTTTTGTGTAGTTTTTTTTTTGGTAGTTCTGTATTTGTTCTGAATGTGTTTCCCTATTTGTCAATTGTTTGTTTTGCATTTTTCTCTTTTCTCTAATATTGTCTATTTTTTGTAATGTCTGTTTTGATTTTGTGTGGGTGATTTTTGTGGTTGTTCTTTCTTCTAACATTAATTTTTTGTGTTCTGGTTGTTCTAGTATTTATCTATGTTTGTTTCCAACAGGTGGGCACTCGGGACTTTGCCCATCGCTACAACGCCACGTACGTGTCGTGGGCGCTGGCCTACCTGGTGGGCGTCATATGTTTGGTGCGAGCATGCTACTGGGGTGCCATTAAGATCAGTTACCCGGAGAATAGCTTCGCCTAGGAGGCCCCGCCCCTTGGTTGTCTGACCTTTTCGCCTTTTTGTTTCCACTCGTTGATCCAGCAAGCCTTTAAAATTTTTTTTTTTTTACCCCATGAATGACCAAGCGGAGACGAGCTACGAAGAAATAACATTTTGCTCGTTGCACATTTTTTTTAATGTGAATTTTAAGTCGCTCTGCTGCTAGTTAGTGTCCAGCTAAAGGAGGGTGCGTGGCCATTTACTGTAATGTGGGGGTGTCCGAAATATTCTAAATGTGACGTAGCCGCCACTGATGTTCATCATGATGGGACTGTAGGCTGTAAAACGCATTGCTAGTCAGACATTTTGAATTCAATGGAAACTACTGAACCTACATTTTGGGGGAGGGGGGGGGCGAGAATACGTTGTTTGTGCCACCATTATTCTTAACACAGTATTCTGATTCATTTTATGTTTGTGGAAAAAGAATTCAACGGGTAAATTCATCCGTTTTCTCAGAGAGGTTCTTATTGCTCCATACAGGGAGCCTAGCGTAAACATGCACTGCTAACTGTGTTTTTAGCGGAAAAGTAACATTGACAACGTAAGATGACTGCCGTCTGGATTCAGGGGTCCGTTGATCATTCATTCAGGGAAACGCACGTCGTTGGCCATTTTTGTTTTGAAGAGAATATGTTGGGACACTCCTGCTAATGCTAATGTAACCACGAAGCTGTACACAGACGTTTTGAAGAGAATATGTTGGGACACTCCTGCTAATGTAACCACAAAGCTGTACACAGACTGTATAGCGTGTCTGTGTCTGCTTTTGAAACTCCCAAATGTGCCAGCGTTTGCCCCGCAGTATAACTAGAGCGTCTCGCCAACAAGTTTTATTTTATTGTCATTTGTTTGCTTTTAAGGTAATACAGCATTCATAGTTTTTTTTTTAACCTCCCACTGCATGTCAACCGGTTTACGTTACGTCCGTCACAAGAACCCGTCTCTTGTATGTGAACTTTTTTTCAAAGAATGTAACCCTAAAATAATCCAGAAGTAATGTTAAAATAGCGTAAAGCATCCCATGGCGCATCCAGCCCAATAGGAGGCGTATTCTTTTGGAATGTGACATGGTGAGCGAAACAATATGAAAGGATGACTCTTTGTACATTATTGTGGAAGGCAAAGCTTGGTTCTTTTTCAAAGTGATTATTTATCAATAAAAGTACAAAAATGACTTCTGGTGTCATCTTGTTACAGCCTAATGGTGTGTTCAATAATATAGTTTATTTCATTTTACATATTGTTTTCCGAGGTTTAAATTTGTATGAACTTCTTTTTTGGGGGCGGGGGTCCAATGTATATTTTCAAATTCTTTTCAAGGAATAGTTTTTCACTATCTGCAAAAATGTTTGTCCTACGTTGTTTTTTTTTCAATTATTTAGAGGTGAAATACATTTCATTGAGATGGTGAAAATGACTTGCAGTACCAATACTCGTCACCGGAGGGAGACATCAATTCATTTGAAGAAGTCTGAAGTTGGAAGGTAAAAAACACGATTTTACACAAATATCTTTTATTTCACGTGTTTGAAGCTTTAGCGACATTAAATACGCACAAATGACAATCGCGTGTTGGAATAATAAATATTCTTTATGATAATCGTGCTGCTGCTACTTTTTAGGACATTTTTTTATTAATCGTGTGCCGCTGCAACAATTTCTCAAACTCAAGCGTGATGACGTCACGGCAAACACGGTGATGACTGGCTGGCCAGAAATCCAGGAAGTAATTTTCTTTTTGTTTTTTTTGTTTTTTTTTTTAAGAGCATCGTCAAAACACATACGCACAGTGGAAACTTGCCAGTGTGTGTATTTATCTGTATATTTTATACTTTATACAAAGAAAAAACACAAAAGTATTTATATTTACTGTTCTGACGTCATATATGCGTGTGCGCAACCAAGTGTGAGTGACAAGCTGCTCTCAGTTGTTGTTCAGGACCCACCATGAAGCTGAAACAAACAAATGTCATTAGAAAATATCCATGCAATCATAAAAATACATTACGTTATGAAACAAAGACATACAGTGTTAAATGAAGAATCAAAATTGGTGCTACTCAGTAAATTAAAATGTCATTGAATGAAATTACGAATATTAAGCAATTAAATATATATCAGTTCGATTTTAATAAAAACGTCCAAATTAATGAAAAAGCTGTTTAAAAAAAATTAAAAAATCATTTAAATAGCTTGTGAAACACGCAAATCGGTCTTAAAATGGGGGGGGGGGGGAAGAGAAATAGAATATGACAACATACATTTGGTATATTTAAAAATATAAATGTTGATGGATAATTGTAATTTTTATATAGCTGACATTCAAGATCTTTCAATATGGCACATTGGCACTATAAAATATAAGATTTTTAAAAAATGTGATGCAAAAATTACATGATGACATGCCAAGTGGGTATCCACCCACTTGAGTACAACATTTGACATGACAGCTGTATGAAATAAAGTGTCGTGATGATACAGTGGGAGGCGGTACCCGGGAGCAGCATGGTGGTGACGGTCTCGGGTGTTTCCAGGAAGTCCACGTTGGCCCTCTGGAAAGTCTTGCTGGAGTTGCTCTGCAGGTGACTACACAACACATCCAAAATACAAGCAAGGAATGCATGTTGTTATAATTGGACTTGCGTGAGCTTCACCACAAGTCGCCAAGTCAAATGTATCACCGGAGGAATTCAAAGCGAAGGCACCTACTTCTTCCACACATTGATGTGCTCCCAGAATTCATAGAGGATGAAGCGTGACTCGTTAGGCAGCCGCTGCAGCGCCACGCTGCGCAAACAACAAAGCGCGTGCGTTGTCTTCAGCATCATTATTCAACGTTATCATCATGAATCATCGTCAGCGTCGCGCATGTTACGTCACATCCCCAAAATCCGAATTTGTAAACAGCTTGACGTCAGAGCTTTCTCAAGCTTGGACACGTTGCACTTGCAGCGTCTCATGTGTTGAATGTCACAAGATGCTTGAGGCTGCCGCTTCTTGTCCAAACTCGAAGTGACAGCACGCAGAGAGGGATGGAGGGATATGGGGGGGTGGGTGCTGCGTGAGAGCGTGTAAACATGCTAATGGTTGTTGCGCCTCACTCATCATGAGCGCTGCCGCGCGTTGTGTGCATATCATTCATATGTCGATAAATGAATTGGGCTTCAGAATGTCAGCTCTTCATGGAGCTCTTCATTCATCCATCAATCCGTCCCGCGTACGTCCAACCCACCCCACCACCCCTCAGAAAAGTTCACGGTTCACGTCTGCCGCAAAATAAGTTCCATCTGCAATGCCTCAAAATCCATGGACAAATTTTGGCGCCGGTACAACCCCGCTTGTATACCACCTATCCATCCATAAATCCATTCACTCCCTTTTAGTTCAATCAGTCAATCCATCCATTCACCCATTAACCTTTCCATCCACGTGTCCCTCCTCCCATTGGAAACGCTTGTGTGTGTGTGCACTGACTTTAGACATCCGGTCTGTGTGCCGGCAGAGTCCATGTAGTGTCTGAGTGCCACGCGAAACTCCTCCAGCTCATCCTCCAGCACGGACAGCTGCCTCTGCACAATCAGGATGTGCTGTCCACACGCGCACACACGCGACGCCAAGACGTGTTCAAGAAAGTCCCGTTACCATGACAATCACACATCATCATCATCATCACTTGAGTAGATGACACAAGGATGAAAATGTTGGCAAGGACGCACCAGTTTGCTTTCCGGGACGTCATCTTCGACGGGTTCCAGGCGGATCTCCTGAGGACATGGTACAGACGTGTGATGGCATGCGCTAACGCTAATGCGCTTAACACGACTATTAGATACCATAAGCACACTGACCAGACAATAAGCCACTGAGGGAAAAGACAATGTCGATTCTAAAGATATCTGATGCGTTAATATCAACAGATATAACATCACCAAGAAAAAAAAAATCATAACATATTAAGATAATTGGATTTGCATTTCTTAAATTTGTAAAACAATGATTTTCTCCTTCCGATTCGATTTTTGTCAAGTTTTCATTTATGTTATTTTTGGAGCACATGTTTAATATTCACGCTTCTGTATTTCCTGCTCAGCCTTTTTCCACTGCAGACATTTTGCATCTATTTGCATGCTCATATGCATTATCTACGTGGGCATGTGTCATTTGTTCCCATTGTTCTACATGCACATGTGCCATAATTGGGGGGTACAGATGCATATGAGGTACAGACACAGATGTGGGAATAAAAAAAAAAAACAAAAAAAACCCCATCAACAATTGTAAGCCGGTAGAAGGACCTTTTGTTCCAGGCGGTCGATGAGCTTCTGGAGCCTGTTTACTTGAACTGTCCAGTGGCTCTCCTCCTCATACACGCCTGGTAGAAAGAAAAAAAAAAAACACACGAAAATGAAACAGGATGAAAGGATTCTGCTTCAGAACCTTATGAACCACAAAAAGTTTTTCACGACTAGTTTCTCTTTCGGATGGGGTCCAAGTTTGGTAGCCGCCTGTTAGCATCTCTTCTGGATCTGGGAGCCAACTGCTAGCATCTCTTCTAGAAAGGGTCCCGCTTCTTCTGGATCACATCCTACTCACCTGCTGCTGTTTTGCACCTCTTCTAGAACAACTTGTCACCTACTAGCATCTGGTCTAGAGTGTGTAGCTGCTAGCTTGTATCGTTTCTAGATTGGCGAGCCGCCTATGAGCAACTGTCCTCAATTGGGTCAAGCCCTGTGAGAGTGGTGGGGGGTGGGGGTGGCTGTCTACAAGTACTTTTTCGAGATGGGTTCAGGTCTGGTACCTGAGTTAACAAGACTCATGATGGGGTTACTGGGGGACAGGCTGTTGTTCCTCTGGAGTCTCCGGTTGGAACGACGACCCGACCACTGGATGGATAAAACCTCCGGTTTAGTAGGACCGTGTCTGTAGAAACAAAGTGCGTTTTAGTGATTAAAAATTCTCCTCCATGTGCGCTTCTTATTCCTTAACAAAAAACACAGTCAAAACGGCCCTGTGATGAATTCATTAGCGGGCGACAAGCGAGGCTCAGTGCCGCTTGAGTGTGGGCGGAGGTGCTAATGGCCCCGTTTGTCCGCCCACGCCGTCTTATTCCGGGCGACAAGCTTTAATTGCTACAAGAGACACTTGGAACCCCTCAGACTTAAATAAAAAAGTTACAAGCAACAAGAGGGTATGGACATCGTATTTTCACACGTCTCCAACTGACTACGGAAAGCAATTTCGAGCCACTTGGGTCCCCTCACAAGTACACAGCCGGCGCATTCGGATTCGCCGGGGTGGGGGTAGGGGGGTGGGGGTTCATCAGTTCCAAGAAGAGAGAGATGAAATGCCGCAGGAAGAAGCGACACAGCTCTGGGAGCCGGAGACCCTCACACTGACATGAGAGCGAAGCTGAGAGGAGATGGTGGCATGAGAGACGGTGAGAAAAGGAAGAGGACGCTTGTGAAGGCATGTCAACCTAGCATACGTAAAAGATGCTGCCTCCGGCCATTTATCAGGCATGG